CCAAGGTCTTGATCTGGACTACGGCGAACAAAAGTTAAACCCAAGGGTTAGGTATTGGAAAAACGAAAAAAACTGAAATCATTTGAAAGAAGACTATCATCTTTGCTGCGAATTTCAACGAGTGTACAAATATCCCATGGAGTCGGTATGTTCTTGCAACTCTCAGAAAAATCGGACTTTTTCGCAGCTCTTGATCCCTGAACTATCACAGACTCTGGCATTGATTTTTGGAGAATGCTTCAACTAGCTAATTCTAAGACATTAATAACATAACAAATTAGAATATCGAAAGAAAATACGACGTTATTCGGCACCGAGCACCCACAGATAGAACCTACCAGTCCTCACGTCAATGCTTACATAAGTTAGGTACTCAGAATTTGGCCCCACATTGCACTCCTCAAGTCGACAACTACACCGTCAATCTTGATGGTAGTCAAGGTCAACCGTCACGTTGGACCAATTTCGAAAATTTTACGACCCCCCTCCCCCCTCTGGAGGGCCTCGATACGACTCCTCACGACCATCCTCCACCACCCTCGCCTGCCGGGGGCGATTCTATAGTATTTGATTCTGAAGTAAGCAAACCAGCCCTTTTGGCGTTTCTGCTGGGGCCGTATGCTGAATGTTGGGGAGGGGATGGGGTCCCCGACGGTCGACGGACTACTTCAACTCGGTCCTTAAAACCAATTTGATGCTTACCTCAGAACTAAGCCTTAAAGAGAGGACGGGTCCGTCCCCTCTCCAAGGCTTAGTCCTGGGGTGAGCAAACCAGCCCTTCTGGCGGAGCTGCTGGACCAGCTGCACCACTTGCGTCAGTACTCTCCTACCGTACCAACCGAGTTGAAGTAGTCCGTCGACCGTCGGGGACCCCATCCCCTCCCCAACATTCAGCATACGGCCCCAGCAGAAACGCCAAAAGGGCTGGTTTGCTTACCTCTTTGATTCTGAGATCAGTCTACACAGCCCAACTCCGCCCACTTTTCCTTCGAACGTGAAACGGCAAAATTTTCACACTCACACTCAACCCAAAAGCCCAGCCTACAAGAACCCACTATCCGTTCCATAAAAAACATCCCTTCCCTTACTGTAACATTGACGCTACCTCGCGAAATACGACCCCCCTTTTCCACCCCCCAAATACGACCCCCCACCCCCTCGTTGGACTTTGTCCAACGGACGGTTGACCCTGATGGTAGTACTGTTTTCCAGACACTACTTATAGCAAAAAAGTTTTCCCTCCAGCTTATCATCGCGCTTCATTCCATCGCTTATTTTCCAAAAAAAAAACCTTTGTTGTCGCTTCACTCACCGTTCCTTGCCAGTTGGGCGTGAGAGGCGCATGATTATATTGTGGGATCCTGATTTTGAAAAAACTGAGCGGGCGTCCTCCCATGCAGCAGGTTTTGTGTTGTGTTTCATCTGTAACACTTAGTTCATTGACTGTTTCCGGACCCCAGAAATCCAACACAAAAATTCCCGCCAGCGAAAGTTACATTTCATAAATGGAAGAGCGGGGACAATCGCGTTGCAAAGAGCGATATCTTCAGAGTATCGAGCAGACTTTCGTCCCACAAGACTTTTCTCGAATTTATCATCACCATGTAGTAGTTGCCGTACCATAAGATGACTTTGAGTCGCCTCAATCCATCACACTTACAGTCGCGTGGTAGCTGATGCGCAGAGCTTGAAGGGAGTGACCATGATGGCTGGAGAGCGGTGGTTGATGACGCATTGGACGTGGACGATTTCAATGATGGTCACCGGGACACCGCACAGCCACCAACCACAGGTTATCCCACCAACCCTGGTATCCGGACTTAACAAAGCTAATCCGTTGCGATACATGGGGCTCATGGCCACGAAACGAGATTGTTTGCGTCAAACGTCATTTGCACTTTGCTTACAAGTCTTAGGACATGGTCCTTGACATTGCGACCAGTCGTTAGCAAATCTTTCGATCTTTAGCGATTCCAATTGGAATAACGAGCGCTCTGCGAGCAGTCCCCAAAATGACGATTTAGCTCGCATTCGTTACCCAGCGCACCGCTAATTTCATGTAGCGAGAGGGTTAGTTAAGGTCGATAATGGTTCACACTCTGCTTGGGTGTCTAGCAAATGTCTTCGTTAGGATCAGCCACACCCACCCAACCACACGTGCAGGCATCGCTTGCTCTAAAGGCTTGATGTTCCTCGTACTTCGTCATACGATCAAGATGGTTTTAGTGTCTCATTATCATCCTCCTCTTTCCACAGGCTCTCTGTTCCCGTGATTTACGTCCACGCTGTATTTCAAATGCGAGGTGACCAGCGTTGACGAACAATGTTATACGAAGTTATACGAAGCCTATACAGTTACGGACGGAATCCTCATAATAGACACAAGACAACTCGAGAAGAGACATTGTAGTCGTTAGTTGGCCGCTCATTAGCTAACTACTCCTCAAAGCTCTTGGCGCTAAGCTAGTGGTCCTTACCAGGAAGGTCTTTCAGGGCGTGACGAGCTTTTTGAAAACGGTCTTTTGCATGATATAGGGGCAGATGCGGGAACCACAGAACCATGTTTAATTTTTCCTGAACGGCCCTCTGAATACCAGAAAAGGGGGTCCCTAGTTCGATTCCTCTTGGTGACAAATTTTTGCATTTCGAGTTGACGTTCCAAAATTCGCGCAAAATGGAGTTCTGATTGTTCTGGTTGGTTCTAACTCCATTTTGCGCGAATTTTGGCACGTCAACTCGAAATGCAAAAATTTGTTACCACGAGGAATCGAACTAGGGACCTCCTTTTCTGGTATTCAGAGGGCCGTTCAGGAAAAATTTAACATGGTTCTGTGGTTCCCGCATCTGCCCCTATATCATGCAAAAGACCGTTTTCAAAAAGCTTGTCACGCCCTGAAAGACCTTCCTGGTTAGTAATATCTTCGAGGCTGCGATTCAAATCATTGTCCGATCAAGAAGAATCGCTTCGTTATGCAGCATTTACTGCTTCTCGTGCCATTGAAGATATTACTATCAAATGTGCAACTTTTCTGTACCGTACAAGGTTTCAATTATGGAAAATAGGTAAAAGCTGCATTTTGGTCTTACGAAGGCCTGCATGGCCACAAAAGACTGACATGCGGGGAAGGTTCTTAATGAAGATCGCAACAAATTATCTTACATGTTTCGTGGATGCTGTCAAGGCTACATCCGTCTGCTAATCATTAAACGGGAGCATGGTCGCGCAGTATTTGTGTAGTGAAGAAAAATCTCTCGAATTACAGTACACTTTCATGATCCCTCAGCGAATAAGAAGTCGAGTATTGCCGAGATGCGAAGCAAACAAGCGATTCAAACCTACCATTGTGCAATTGGTTTTTAGTCTCCCGTCATACGGGTCCGATGGTTTTGTGCCGATTCGCTTCATGAGTGCTACCAGTGCGTCATAAAACATGCTATAAGCAAACTAGACTCGGTACGCAGTTGATGTTGCCGACAAACAGGCTATCTCTTTACCTATAATTTGGTCTTTGATAACAATCGAGTGTTCTTAAATATGGAACAATATCACGCAGCTCTGCTGAAATTATTAATATAGTTTGGTAACACATTTTTCTTTGTATTTTTCATGGGTTCGCCTGAATAATAGGAGCCAGTTAGTGCGGTAAAGTCCGCACAGCCAGCAGTAATCAAAAGTTCACGGAAAGGAAGCTCCAGCTCCACGATGCAGAAGCGAAATGCCGCAAAAAGTGACACGCGCCGCTCTGCTGCTCTTGCAAGGGCTTAGGATTACCGTAGCCGGCGTGCTGCTACACAGAATGCTCCCCTTCTTCAGATAGGCCATCTCTTTTCTATAAACCTCTTATCGCACCACCTGCATTCCTGCAAAAACTTTCTCAGGAAGGCATACAGAATACAGTAGGTGAAGGGCCTTGTTATACGTGCTGCCGTCTATTTTCGCTGAGCGCTATCCTGCCAACTGTTTGGCGTAAGAGAAGGCAGCTGAGTGTCACTCAATTCTTGGAAAGGTACTTAATCCTGGATGGCCAAAAGGGAGTGGGCCAATATTATGGAAGGTCTTGAACGTTGAAAACGAATTTACCTTATTGAAATAAGTCCGAAAAAAGGTAGATCACTCACAGCATAAAGCAAAAGTAGCACTGTGATTGGAATCTATCATCTTAGCGCTCATGCAGCCCTTCAGACGAAGTGGGATGAAAACGCGGTATAGTACGCCAGTTAAGACGCATCAACAATGGATTCTCCAGTCTCTGCTGCGCGCCTCACGTGCAGGAACTCAACTTGTGGGGTAGGTGTTTGATGTTTTGGTCAGGTTTGGACCATGCAGAAACCCGGTTAGAGTATGCAATTAGAATCGCTAGGCAACATTCCTCGAAAAACTGTAAGCTCGCAAAACCGCTCGCTTGAAGATTTCCGCCGCGTGCTATTTTGACACCTGGGACGGTAGCAAAGTACCCTTAACTCGCAATCAGAAGTAACGATCGGAGATTCTAAGCAAAGAATAAAGAATGGAGAGTGCGATCCAGCCCAGATCAAGCAAGAGCTTCCTACTTTAGATTTCAGACGACAAAATATCAGGAAACGAATAAATAAGAAAAAAAAGGTTGCAAAAGTACCTGAAGATTATGGATCGCAGCTGCATTCTTTGATTCCTAACAGGTTGAGCTGGTCAGAGAAGAAAAAAGAGCACGGGATTGAAGAGGCGCAGTCACCACGTCTGACACGTATGACCCTCCAGTAAAAAGTCCTTCGGAGTACTTTTTACTCGTGGGTCAACGTGGCGTCTGCGCCTCCTCGACCTCACACTATTTCTTTTCTCTGCCTAATTACGAATTAGGTTTACAAGTTAACTCTCTAACTACTAATTAAAATGGTTTTTTTGGTTATGATCTAACTGTAGGTTAAACAAGACTTAATGTGTTGAGAAGCGCTCTGAACCTGTTATCTAAACTGACTTTGGTCTGAGCTAATCTCGACACGTTAAGTCTGAATTAATGAAGGTTTGCTACCGTCCCAGATGTTCGTTCTGATGAGGAGTCCAAAGTGGAGTGGTTAATTGGCTTTTTTGGTCCGGAAGACGTTGAATTTTTGAGGTGTCAAGTGGGTTTTTCTCAAAAGCGGTACGAGGATGAAGAATTCGTATGCCGGTGGTGAAGATTACACAAGAGAGTCCGCCGCTACGACCGAGCGCCGTACGAGAGGTCGCAAACCACAGGCCGTTGATTGCGAGCAACACGTAGGAGCAGCGATCAGCTCTATCAATCGAGACCACTGGTAAGGCCCCGGTGCCCTTATCGTCCACCCACCTTTGAGCTGTATAGAATGACAAACCGAAGATATAAAGCCGCAAAAAGTTTTAGGTAATTACAAAACTGTGAAAAAAACGCACGAGGAAAATTTTGAACTAAATGCTTATCGGAGATATTCATTTTCATAGTCTCCACCTGAAATGTAGATATTCTAATTGAACAGAACAGGTTACATCTTATCTTTTGCCTGATACCTTGGCCTTATCGCGAATGGTCTGCCATGGGAGTCCGCAGTGTAACTCAATGAGTACGTAGAAAAGTGACCACAAGTCATCGCGACGGCCCTGCAAATTTGGGACAGAAACCTAGCGCTCATCCAGTAAGGTGGGCATCATGATGCAATTGTTCGAGAAGGCTACGGTAATTCTAATCTTGTTCAGTGACTTCTTCGAAGCCATACGATGTTATTAGTTTCGTGGTAACGTTATTTCTTCGAGTCTATTTTAGTCTGAAAAAAGTGGGTCATAGTGGTGCATGATCTGCTCTAATGCCAATTTGCTCAAGGAGTCCTTCAAAGTTACGGCAGCTCGCGGCTTCATTCCTAGTCATTCCTTTCTGTTTCGGTGCTGAGTAGGATGGGGGGAGGGAGTGCCGTACTTCGGGAAACCCGTGAGCCAGGGGGAGTGTAGACAGTGTGGGCATAGCGCCGCGCCGCCGCGTGATCCCGCCATTGCGAAAAGATATCCTATTCAGAACTAGGTGAGTACTGTTCTTTCTAAAATTTATATGTGTTTCTTGGCATTAGCGGAGTCATTGGACAAAAATGACTACCGTAACCTTCTCGAAACTTTGCATCATGATGCCCCACCTTACTGGTGAGCGCCCAGAACGCTTAATAAAGCTCAATGTCGATGTAGAAAAATTCTATCCATTTTTCCCTCTACCTTGCATTGAAAAGGTTACCTGTTCCTTTTTCTCATGAACATTTGGTGAGCAGTAGCGAAGGGTGCCTCGAAATTCTGCTGAGCCCCTTGCTCTTCTTGCAACCCATTTTCCATTTTTCTGTAAAACTCGTGAAAGTTAAAGGTGAACGCCACTTTCAAATTGCAGTTCGGAGCTATGGTTTAGTAC